TCTCTCTCTCTCTCTCTCTCTCTCTCTCTCTCTCTCTCTCTCTCTCTCTCTCTCTGCCTCTGTCTGCCTGTCTCTCTCTCTCCCTTTCAATTCTAGTTCATAGTAGAGCTAAAACCATACTGGTAATAGGCCTAGATATTTCAATTGAGGAAATGGTCCAAAATGTAAGGGAAAGGCTACAACGCTGGAAGATAAAATCTGTACATGCACACACCTACACACACACACACACACACACACCCCACATACATCAATCATACTGTGAAAAATCATATCACACAGGGGAAATACACTGAAAAGAGACCTTCAATTTTGTGTGTTTATGTATGATTACAGAACTCAAAATTTACTCGCTATAGTATTTTTCACATATACATTTGATAGAATAATTCCTTATGATCAAAATGAAGTTTGTGTGATACTTAAAAATCTTTTTGCTTGTAATTAAAATTTCAGCCCAAGTTAATGCAAGATTGATGGTTGGTAAAATAGTGAGATGGTATTTTTGACCTACACATTATGTAGCTGAGTCAGTGAATTATCTTTGGAGTCATATAAGTATACACAGTTGTAGTTAGGATAAAGGTTCATCCTAAAATGACAAAAACGTACCCAAACTTATTACTCTGAAAGGACAGTGTTGTGAATGTTCAGATTAGTGATTTAATTCCAGGCTTTTAGCTCAAGATATCAAGACATCTATGCATTGGCCCAAGAAATAATGTAGGCCTGTGATGCATCAAGAACAGTAGACTCAAGGGTTGGAACTATGCTACAGTGGGGGGCACAGGCAGTAAGCAGTAAGTACAGCACATGAATAGCTTGTGTAGGAGGTTAGGTAGTGAGAAGTTTTAGGACAAACACATGATGCTGGATGCAAAGAGTTTGTGTCCCTAAAGTAAGGAAGAAATTTATAGGCATTAAATGCATAGAGATTCTCAGGTCATCGTTAGTTTCAGTCCTACATATTGGATTGTTGCATCCTGCCCAGGGGTTTTGTCTGAGTATAGACTGGTGTGCAAGCACACGTGAATCTTCTCCCTAGATGATCCTCTGCTTTCATCAGAGTCTTCAAGGAATGTATAAAATAAAAGATACAAAGATTTAATACATTATTTTTGAAGTTAGACAAAGCTGTTTAATTTTTATCTATTAACTTTAGTTTTATGATTTTTACTATACTAATTGGAATTAAAAACTCTACTATTAACTCTGAGAGACTTTTTGGAGAATATTATTGTTCATTAAGCATGTTAATATTATTTTCACCTTGAAAAATATAAATAATAAAATAATAATGCAAATTATCCTTGTTTCCTTTTCTTAAATTTTAGCACTTTCAATTTAATGAAGAGATGGGCTTAGAAATATTGAACATGTCTTCTGGATGGTTAACAACCTAAGTTTGCAGACCAATATTAGAGAAAAAGGAGGGCTGCAAGGAAAGCCATCATTTTGGCCCTAGCCTTCCAAGGTCAATTAAGACTCAGGACATATGAGAACTTGTACTGTAACATCATGTAACTCGGTAGTGTCCCAAATTTTCTGATCAAGGAGATTATGGGGCCAAAGAGGAAAGTGATCGATGATGTAGAGTGTGCCTGAGGAGAGACACGTGGAGAGAAAACATTCTCTCAGGCTTTCACAGAGAGCACATTGGCCAGGCAATGGCTGTGACTCAACCACATAGCTGACACTGACAAAGCTTCTACAATCTGAGGTACAAGATCTAAGGATAAATCCTGAGGGGATTTCACTGACCTTATCAGACCCAAAAGCTACAACTCTTGTTGCATAGGTCCTGCTTTACCTTGGTCTTAACCATCCAGTAGAAAA